TATTATGAAAAAGATAGGAGAGTACAACTCACTGTATTTCTCATAGCCCTCACCTGTTTTCAATACTTGATCAACTGTCTAGAGTAGAGCTGAGAGCATTGTCCATTATAGTAGATTCTGCAACTACATGATTGGTGGCTTCCAGAGGATGGTACTGAAATTTGTAAAGCTGCTCTGGGACGACTAAGTCATGGGATTCATTTCCTAACCTATTTAGCATCCATATGAAACCACTTCCACCAATAAACTTCAGTCTGTTTCACACTGCAGGTACACAATCACTGAGCTCTGTATTTTCAGAACTAAAGGGACTTGCGAGATGTCAGCTATAGCTTCTTTGTTTAAAATGCTCAGAATAGTCTGATATCTGCTGTATTTATTACTGATTAAAGCATTTGGTCCACAGTTTATTTGATGCTGACTGAACATAAAATATCTGAACTCTCTTTTAAAAATGATCCTGCTTCTTTCTTACTGCAATTATGAAACCCCTATGGGACATAATCTGGAGGTGATGGATTAATCTGTCATTGATGTGAGCATGACACATAGCTATATCTGTTTTTTCCTTTAAAATAGTTGAGGGACTTCACATTAATGTGGAACTCCACATTAATGTGAAATCTTCTAATATATGGTACTGAAAATAGAATTGATGTGCTGGAGATGTGAACAACAAGAGACATTTTATCATGTTTGGTGGCTATGTAAAAAAAAGCAAGAAAATGTTGGCTTCAAATCAGAGGTGGTATTCAGCAGGTTCTGACAGTTCTGGAGAACCGGTAGCGGAAATTTTGAGTAGTTCGGAGAACCGGTAAATACCACCTCTGACTGGCCCCGCCCCATCTATTCTCTGCCTCCCGAGTCCCAGCTGATCGGGAAGAAATGGGGATTTTGCAGTAACCTTTCCTTGGAGTGGTGTGGGAATGGAGATTTTACAGTATCCTTCCCCTGCCACCAAGCCATGCCCACCAAGCCATGCCCACAAAACCGGTAGAAAATTTTTTGAATCCCACCACTGCTTCAAATGAATAAACTGATTTAGGGGATCTCAAAGACCAAAGACCACAGAATTTTCTTTTGGGATTGAGGGACAAACTTTTTTGGGGGAAAGTCATGCAATCTTGTTTTTCTACATGATAACAACAGCAAGATAATTGTATGCACAGATAAAGATTTGGGACTACCCACAATGGAGGAATAGTTGATGAAGATGATGGAACTTGCTGAGATGGCTAAATTGAATTATTTGGTCAAAGAAAAGCCAATATCTATGCTTACTGAAATAGGAGTGATGTGTGACCATTTGGAAGAACAGGGCAGTTCAAAATACCAGTGGTTTTGTTCACAGAGCATAGTCTGTTATGAAACTCCAAGAAACAAGCTCTCCCCACCTGGGTTTTCAACCAGGCTGTTGTACGGATCTGAAATGACCACCATACTCATAAATGACTGGATCACTGTAAACTAGATATTACACCTATAGTGATTTTCCAGCAGGGCATCTGGTTTAATGTCAGTAACTGGCATCCAAGGTCTGTAGCTATTTAAATAATAAATAAATAAATAAATAATTTTATTTCTATACCACCCTTCTCCTGAAGGACTCAGGGTGGTGTACAGCCTATTAAAAGCACAAAGACAGACATCAGTTAAAAATAATTAAAATTATTAAATAATTTCGGCTCAAATTTAAAACCCCCAAAATTTAAAACACCCAATTTAAAAATCATTACATTGATAGCCCTGCCTGGCAGAACAACAGGGTCTTGAGGGCACAGCGAAATACACGGAAGTTGGAGATTTTATGCATTTCTGGGGGCAGGTCATTCCACAGGGCAGGGGCTCCCACAGAGAAGGCCCTCCCCCTGGGTGTCGCCCTCCCCCTGGGTGTCGCCAGCCGACATAACTTGGCCGATGGCACCCTGAGGAGACCCTCTCTGTGGGAGCGGACTGGCGGGTGGGAGGCTATTGGTGGCAGAAGTCGGTCTCGAAGATACCCGGGTCCTATGTCATGGAGCACTTTAAAGGTGGTAACCAACACCTTGAATCGCACCCGGAAGACCACTGGGAGCCAGTGCAGCTCGCGCAGGAGGGGTGTCACGTGTGCACAACGGGTTGCGCCCATAACCACCCACGCGGCCGCATTCTGGACCATCTGGAGCCTCCGAGTGCTCTTCAAGGGGAGCCCCATGTAGAGAGCATTACAATAGTCCAGCCGGGAGGTGACAAGGGTGTGAGTGACCGTGTGCAAGGCATCCCGGTTCAGAAAGGGCTGCAACTGGCGAATCAGGCGAACCTGATAAAAAGCCCCCCTGGCCACAGTCGTCTTCTAAAGATAGCCATGCATCCAGGAGGATGCCCAGATTGCGAGCCCTCTCTGTGGGGGGCAGGGATTCATCCCCAATAGTCAGCGATGGCACCAGCTGACTATATCGGGACGCTGGAAGCCACAGCCACTCGGTCTTGGAAGGGTTGAGTCTGAGCCTATTTCTCCCCATCCAGACCCGCACGGCCTCCAGGCAGCGAGACATCACATCAAGGGCATTGTTGGGGTGGTCTGGGGCTCTACAAGACACAGTATGTCTGAAACATCTGTTAAAGATCTCTGTATGCTGGTGGTAAAAATGGCACTATGGATTCATTTACTATATGAGGCACATAGCTGAATGTGGTGTGCAATGCACGATATTAAAATCATTCTGAATTTTGGCTTAAAAGCAAATAAGCAATGTGCTCATCTATTACTGCTCAGATCATTCTGAGAACAACTGTAACTAACAAATCCATAAGAGATGGTCCCTCTATGAGTTCAGTTTGGTCTTCTCAGAACAAGATAAAAAGTTATAATTTGCTCTTTGCTTTATTCCTGAACAAGCTAAATTCCATGTTAGAGACAACATGGACAACAAACATAGCTGTCAGTGTATCATCTGAGAGGATTTTATTCTTTTGGCTTTGCACATTTGTCCTTTGTTTGGTGATACCTCTATGTCCCTTTACATCATGACTCTCCACCATGATCTAGTCAGAAGCCACAGCCACGCTTCACAAAGTGTAAATGTGTTTCCTTTTCTGGAAACTCTGCAGAATGTAGGGTAAGGGATGCCTTTGAACTGAGGTGCTGCAGGAAATTGTTGAGAAAACCTTAGACCACAACAGGAACAAATCAATCAAAGCTAGATTAAAAAAAAACCCAGGGGGTTCACTGGCAGTAGTAACAGTGAAGCTAAATATTTTGGGCACATAATATAAAAGCCAGGCTTTGGAGAAGACCCTGATGCTTGGAAAACTCAAAGGCAAAATAAAAAGAAAGGTTGACAGAAGAGAAGATGATCAATATATCACTGATGATACAAGCATAAGTTTAAAAAGAAGCAATTAGTTCTGGCAAAAAAAAAAAAATTGTCCAGCAGGACATGAACCGTCAGCAAGTCTAAATGACTAAACCACAACAAAGCATGCCTTTTTGTTGTGATTATTTCCCACTTCTCTTCTGGTTATTTTCTTCGGTGGCTCATTGTTCATATTTAGATTTTGCTTGCTTAGCAGAGTCCTTGTTTGTTCTAATAGTTATTCACCCACTGCAACCTAAGGGAAGAGAAAGAAAAGAAAGAATTACGACCCACCACCCTGGTAGAAATTCCTGTCTGGTCACCTGGAGTGGCAAGGGGGCAAAGCAACAGAGCACAGACTAGCCACTCCATTGGGCATCGGGTGGAGACAGTATTTCTTCTCAGGCTGACCCATCTTGACCTTAACTTAGCACACAAAGGCCTACGTGGCATTTGGATGCTGAGGGTAAGGATCATGCATGTTCTTCATCAGTCATGCTGTTGATTTTAAGAATGGCTTCAGCTGAGTTTTGTCCCTGTTTCTTGATAGTCCCTGCAAGACACCTGAGTTTGTTATTCCTGTCCATTCCAGCTGGAATTCAAATGGCATGACTTTATCTAAGGAACAGATGAATGGCTCAGCAGGAATGTTTATGAGTGAGAGAGGATAAGAAACTACATTCTCCAACCTTGCCCGGACCTGCTGAGAACTAATGGCCAGATCCCCTCTCACCTGCCTGCAGCTCAATCTTGCTTCCAGGCCAAATAGTTCAGCCTTTTAACCTGAGCAATGCAGGAATGTATTATTCCACCCAAGAACCATTACAACTGAGTCACGTTTTACAGCACCTTTTCTATGGCCTAAGCATCTGCCTTTCCACACTGTGCAGAGTTAACATTAAACCTGAGATGCATAGCTGCCCTCTTTTGCACATCCATTTCATGGAAACAAATGTTGAATGAAGTCCATTTTCCCTTCCTAAGGCCAAGGACCTAAATGCCAGGTAGAACACATTTGCATATTACTCATATCAGGACCAGGCAATGCTTTGGAAGGTAGCATAAACAGTCCCTATCTGCAGTTTATTAAAGCACTATTTCTGTTTCCAGGCGCCTCAGTTTTAAATGCCTGGAATTCCAGTAAAATGATGATTTTACTCTTGTTTTTTGTACTGCTCTCACCAAACACTTTGTTCGGCATGCTAAGCATTTTAGTCCTCTAATTTCTATACTTTTCAGTAGCACTGCCCTCGTGAGAGTTGGGGGTGCCTTTTATATTTTACTTTCATTTCCTCCTGCACGAAACATCATTTTGTTCATTATGAATAGGTATGGCATGAAATGGTTCAATCATTTCCTTCCTCTTATCCTTGACTGTGAACCTCTGGGACTTTCAATTTCCTTTACCAATTATCTTCCCTGATCTCCACTGCTGGGAAATATTAATTGATGGCTCTTAGTGATATCAAAGAAGGTGGGTTTTTGTATTTAAGAAAAAAATGAATATATAAATAAATATAAATATATACAAATATAAACAGGAGGCAACATCTGATCATCCCATATCATTCCACAAGTGGAGCAGGCCATTTCTGAAGCATCTATCGGTTCACGGGAAAGTTTCGCTGAGGATTGAACTGACAAGCTTTTCTCCTATTTCTTCAGAGAGAAACGAAAGGGGAGAGACCAATGGACTAGATGGAGAAAAGAAGAGAAGGCTTCTCCCCAGCATCACCCACATCACAATCAGACCAGTGGTGGGTTGCTCCCGATCCGGTCTGGTTCTATAGAACCAGTAGTAAAACCAGCAGGAGGCTCTGCCCACCCGCCATGACATCATCATGGGTGATCTGTGCATGCGCAGAAGCGCAAGCGCTCCCGCTGGAAACCGGTAGTAAAGGTAAGTGGAGCCCACCCCTGAATCAGACTCACTGATTCTGGTCACAGGACATGATGGGCTTCTTACCAGGGTGAGGAAGAGCCAGTTCTTCTGAGTTATTAGCACTTAAATTGGGGAAATAAACTTTAATCTATGAGAGTGCTAATTTATTTATTCTTTTATGTTTTATTTTATAATTTATTTGTTCAATTTCTATGGCCACCCATTTCAGTCAATGGCTAATACTTAAGAACTGAAGCAAGGGCAAATTTGAAGTAATGTATCTTTGATTTCATCTTTCAGCAACATATGATATTTAAACTAGCTCAAGCTGTGAAGCAAACTGCGGGCCTTGCTAAATCACAATCTTCACTTACTGCACATCAAAAGATGATTGTGAGGCTGAGGCTTCCGTTATACGGGAAGTGGGAGATCTGTGATAAGAACATTGGTTTGTTTATAATTTAATTACAGCTGCCAGATGGGGATGATGCAAATAGCCCAGCAGCATGTTGACATGGTTCTCCTGTGTAATTTTCCTGGTCAACATTGCACAGATAGTCCTTGACTTATGACCACAATTGAGCCCAACATTTCTGTTGCTAAGTGAGACAGTTGTTAAGTGAGTTTTGCCCCATTTTACGACCCTTCTTGCCACAGTTGTTAAGTGAATCACTGCAGTTGTTAAGTTATTAACAAGGTTGTTAAGTGAATCTGGCTTCTCTATTAACTTCGCTTGGCAGAAGGTCACAAAAAGTGATCGAGTGACTCTGGGACGCTGCAGCTTATTTAAATACGAGTCAGTTGCCAAGCATCTGAAGTATGATCAGGTAACCAAGGGAATGCTGCTACGGTCATAAGTGTGAAAAATAATCATAAATTCCTTTTTTCAGTGCTTTTGTAACTTTGAACAGTCACTAAATGAACCTGTATTGCAGTGTTTCTCAACCTTGGCAACTTGAAGATGAATGGACTTCAACTCCCAGAATTCCCTAGCCAGCATAGCTATAGCATAGCATATTGGATCCAATAGCTTGAAGAAGAAGGGAGAGAGAAAGCCGTAAGAACACAGAAAATATGTGAGCATATTCAGGAATTCAGATATGAGTTGGTGTCTTACCCAGAGTTGCATAGATACAATACACACACACACACACACACACACACACACACAAAGCATACACTTCTCTCTTTCTAAAGGCTCGATTATGAAACGTAACGAGCCCAAATTTCTTGCTGAGAAATCAGATGCCTATCAATAGATGTGGTCTCCATTGAAGTTAGAAGGTTGAATTATGTTCTGAAGTTTCAATCCTGCTTCTTTAGACCTAGCCGAGACCTTGTACCAGAAACTACATAATAAATAAGATCTGCTCAGAAGGGGACGTGGTGATGTCTTTCTTTCTAGATACATTTTTGTAGAAAAACATGGCACCATCAAAGTTGCAGTTACGCAGGTAACAATTTCTTTTTCATCAACTACTGTAAACCAACCAAATCAAAGCCCATCACATTTTTTTCATCTGAAGCAGTTTGTGAGGAGAGCAAATTTTAATGCTGGGTCTTACACAACAAAAGTAAAATGTATAAAAACGTTCACAAGCACGCATTCAAGTAAGTGTCATATCTGTTTATATATATTTGAAAATCTGTATTATGTTTTGCAGACTTCCAGGCTCCAGATTCAGCTTCAAATTTCCAGTCCATTGGTCTCAAGTGTACTTTAATGGAACATGAAGACATCGCTTTTGTTCTATAATACAGATGCACACCGCTCAGCTAAAAAGATGTGTGTGTGAGAGAGAGAAAGTAAGAGAGAGAGAGAGCAGATTTGAAAACTAATGTACTGTCAGCTTATTAAATAAACTACTATAAACTTCAACAGAAACTAGCAGGGAGGTCTGCAATAAAAGAAAAAAAGACAATTTCAGTTAATACTTAAATCCACCGCCAATCTGGAAATTAGCTAGACGTGAGAGGACACACACTTATTTCTTTTAGAGCAGGGCAGATAATCATGTCTAGTCTAGACACTGGATCCATTCCCTCCCTGCTCGGGCAAGTTGGATGATCCAGAGGTAGAACTTAAGAGGGTCAGGTGGGCAAGTCCCTGCCCCTTCATTAAAGACCCATCTAGTGGTGAAATTTAAAAATTTCCCCTACCGGTTCTGTGGGCGTGGCTTGTTGGGGGGGGAGGTCATGTGACTGGGTGGGCTTGGCCAACTCGACATCACTCACATCGAGGGGCTCCTCACCGGCCACTCCCCTCCCAGTCACTCCTTGTCGTGAATGGCAGGAAAATGGGGAGGGGAATATTCCTGCCTACCATCCTTCCCTCAGTCTGTGCTGAGATTGAGGAATGGATGACAGGCAGGAAAATCCCCTTCCCCATTTTCCTGCCTTTCACAAAAATGGCTCCATTCCAGCTGCTCCCCCCATCCCCCTCCCTCCTGGGGACTACCTTAAAGGGACAGGCTGCAGCAGCTCCGTTCTGAATGGAGGGAGAAAAGTTAGCATTCTCTCTGCTGAATTTAACATTGAATTCTGTGGAATATTGAGCGGCCAGGTGAGCGGCGACCGGCTGGGCATGGGTGGGGCCAAGGAGGGGTAATTACTACCGGTTCGGCGAACTGATGCCCGTAATCCCTAGTGGTTTTCCTGAACCGGTCTGAACCGGTAGGATTTCACCCCTGGACCCATCCCTAATACCCTACATTTCTCCACACAGGATGAAGCAGGGAGCCAGCTGTGTCAATGGGAACCTTAGCTTCCTGTCTTTCCCTGCATGAACAGCACTACTCCATACAAGCTGAAGAGGAAAGCTCAGGCTCTTTGGTGTCCCACTGGATATTAGACCAGGTTCACCTGCCCAATGTCTTTCCCGACTGAAGAATGGGTGGACAGCCGAAACACGTGGTCTCCCCTATTTGCAAAAGTGGTTCTTGTCAGATATTGGCCATCTATTTGTTGAAAAAGCACACAGTGGCTGAACCATACTTATTGGCAATTCATCTGAGCTGCTTGCAAAGAGGAGGCTGTTATTACAAATTCAGGAACAGGTTCAAGCAGAAAACCAGACCGGAAGACAGATGGAGACTACTGGAGGATGTGTTTTTTTCCCCCAGTCCTTATTTAGGGACTATATAGTCCCATTTAGAGCAGGATGAACATCAACTACTTTGAGCGGATGAATGTCCTGCATTTATCCTCCCAATTGATCAAGAGAGAGCTTTAACTTGTTGGCCCTCATCCCATCCATTACTTTCCCCAGATACAATGTCTATCTCTCCTCTGAAAGTTTTGCTAAATGGTCTCTCGTTTTTTGGGAAGTAGCCAAGGTTTAATATAGAGATATAGGCTTCGCAGTTACTTACAAATGTCCTTCTTCGCAGTAAAAGGTTTATACTTGTTACAGTGAGCATGTCGTATAACTAAAATGTCTCTCTCTCCGTGAAAACATGTGCTTGTTACACAGTCAACAACATGAACTTGTGAGTACAAGTATCTGTGCTTCAGAATGATATCTACAAGATTCTTCCACACCATCTGTATCCTCAGGCAGAAGAGAGATAAGGTCAGTGTTGGCTCCAGCCATCGGTTTATCTCCTTATCTCACCTGCTGAAGATGGAACTATGACCAAGACAGGATTTCACAAGGCTGCTCTCTCTCTCTCTCTCTCCCTCCCTCCCTCCCTCCCTCCCTCCCTCTCTCTCTCTCTCCTAAACAAAATAAAATTGAGGGCAGGGTTAGGAATCTTGCTATTAAAGGAAGGTTTTAATACTCTCTTCTCTGCTCTACTTCTCTAGGGTCAACCTCTATTTTCTCCATCACATTAAGGCCATTCTGGGCTACAGTGTCCTAAAAAGCAGTTGTTGTTTTTAAGTGAAATTCCTAAGAAGCTTTTTTCCACTTGGAAAATTGTGATTTTTCTCTAATGTTTCTATTGCTACATTATTGAAGACTTTGTCAAGACAGAACATGCAGGTGTATCTTAAGTCTATACTGGGCCATGCCTGTGCATCAGCCCTGACAAACAACCCAGCCCCCTCCTCATTATTGTCATTGTGATTTCTATTTTTTTTTCTTGCTCAGTTTTTGTGATATACGAAGGCTATACATATAAGTAATGTTCCACATAGTATTGTCCTTCCATTTCACTAATCTTGTCCTTGGCTTTTAGGAAAAATTGGTAATAGAATTAGTTTTAGGCAATAAGACAATTCATAAAACTTCATACAAAACGGACTAGTCTTGCAATACAATAAAATACCTCTTGCAGATTTTAAATCCAAACACAGCCTTTCCATCAGCCTTCCTAAAATATACTTTAAAGAAACACAGAAGTAACTTCCTCTTCAAGTTTATTTATAGACTTCATTTGCATAACCTGGTTATTGAGTTTAACCCATTTTTTGAGTATTCACAATACACCACACTATAAAGCAAGCAAGCAAATGGACTGGCTTTACATCTTCCTCTTCCTCTCTCCCTTGCTGTCATGCATGTGCACAGAGGGAGGGAGGGGAGAGAGAGAGAGAGAGAGAGAGAGTGTTTAAAATTAAGCAAGTTTTAAACATTGTGCAAAAATGGCTGCTTGTAATTGCCTGTCTCATGCAAATATAAACTGTTTTTCAACTCAGAACAAGAGGCAGAGAATAGTCTCCCATAATGGCAAAAAAGCACAAATATGTTTAGTGCAAAAGCATATTTCTTCTCTGTCTTTATGTGAAGAAAAAAATAGTGGTATGGTTTATTCCCTTGCAAAAAAGCCACCCAGTCTGTAAGGACAGAACAGTATATTACTGTTCTATCCTTATTGTTCAGTATAAATACTAAAAATAGATTTGGGATATAGTCTAGAAAGGTTTGCTATCCAAAATGCCACAGTTCAAAGTCTATTTTGTTGCTAATTATCAACCAGGTCATCAAACAAAAATTATATACCATACTGCCAACGTGGTCTGGCAACCCTAATTTTTCCTTCTGTCTTCCTAAAACAGGCCTTGCTTGTCCCAGGTCATGGCGTAGATGCTTGACTGTTTACTTTCCCAGACTGCAAAACACCGAGCAGCTGTAGGAGAGAAGAGTGAAGAGTCGAGGTAAAGCTGCATTATGTTGGCAGCTCTTCTCTGCTGCCAGGGCTGGGTTCTTCTAAACAGCACTTACCATGGACGCCCCTCCCCCCTCCCAGCTTAGCAAGGTCGCATCTTCCAAAGTGCAACCAAATTGGGCCATAAGGAATGCCTCCCTGGGCCTGCCAAGAGGCCTAGCAGGGCAACTTTCTGTTTATCATTTTGGCCAACCTGCATGTGAGGCAGGAAAGCAAGAACAGCACGTTGCTGATGTTGCATCCCAGAAACTTTGCTTTTGAAAATGAGAACGTTATAGAGCCATCATGGTTCATAGCCATCTGTCGACTCTGTGGAAAAGCGTTCAAGCCGATGAGCCTCACGCATAGTCTGGACTAAAGGTGGGATTCACTTACCTTCCCTACCGGTTTGCAAATGTGAGCGTGCATGCTCATATCAAATCGATCATATTATATCATGATCTTTGGCTTAATAAAATGTCCCAAGCACTAAAAAGGGATTTGCCAGGATAGAAAAGGAGGGTATTAAAATACATTTCAAAACAAAAGTAATGGCATTTCATAAATAATGTCTACACTACGATTAATCTTCTCATCATTCCCACCACCCATCTCCTTCCACTTATGACTGTATGACTGTAATTGTGTTGCTTGTATCCTTACAATTTATATTGATATTGTTTCCTGATTGCTTATTTGTACCCTATGACTATCATTAAGTGTTGTACTTACGATTCTTGATGAACATATCTTTTCTTTTATGTACACTGAGAGCATATGCACCAAGACAAATTCCTTGTGTGTCCAATCACACTTGGCCAATAAAGAATTCTATTCTATTCTATTCTATAACTTGAAGAGTAGGGGGGGAGGGTGAGAGAAAGAGAGAGAGAGAGTGAGTTTTGCTAGTTAAATAGATTCAGTTGCACTAAAAATACATTTGTTTGAAATATGAAGAGGGAAGTTTGAAGTTTGAAAATACTCTATAAATACAGTATTTTCCTATTCAGAAACATTGATTTGACCCCTGTACTCTCCTCAAGCAAACAGGAATTCTAAGTTGGTGCTTTGCGACATCCTGTGGTCACCTGGGGTAATGCATAAATCTTATTGTGCAATATTATTGCTTCCTAGTAGACTTCTAGAGCAAAGGATATTGCAGATGAAGTTGAACCCATCGCCTCTATCAAGATATCCCTAAGAAATTCTCATGAGAGGGAACATCCTTGTGAGGAACACATAACCCTAGATTTAGGAATTGTAGCCAATGAGCAGTTTCTTCTATTTATACCAGTGGTGGGTTGCTCCCAGTTCTGTCCGGTTCTTTAGAACCAGTACTAAAAACGGTGGGAGGCTCCGCCCACTCACCCAGATGTTATAATTGACGATCTGCGCATGTGCAGAAACGCAAGCACGCGTGAGCGAAGCAAGCGCAAGTGCACGCTCCGCTACAAAATGGTAGTAAAGGTAAATAGAACCCACCCCTGATTTATACCTTTAGCATTTTAAACTATTCTTAAAGAAAGAAAACTAAAATAGCTTACAAGATTAAGTAGTAAAACAATCTACTGTATGATCTCAGGGACAAGAAAAGGCACAAAAGAGAAAAAGTGACTGGAGTAAGAATAAGAAAGCAACTACATCTAAATAAAATAGCATATTAAGCTACATTGAAAACTGCTCAGGGGAAGATGTTATTCTAGATGTTGTAATACTTGGGATATACTAGAAACAGATAGAAAAGGGCAGTTTAGAGCAGGTCTGTAGAAGACTGAGGCAAAGGATAAAAGACAATTACAGAATTATGAAACCAGAAGGGGCCTTTGAGACCAGCCTCCTGTTCACAGACCACATCCAAATTTAAGTGTCCTTGTCAGGCAGTTGTTCTTTTATTTGAATATTTCCACTTGAATATTTCCACTTGAAACATGGAGTTGGCCTTTAGATAATTGAATGGATGAAGAAGTTAGCTCCCTTTCAGTACAGCTGAATCGTCCTACATTTCTGGAGGCAGGACAATATCTTTTTTTTTTTAATTTGATTTATATGCCGCCTTCTCCGGAGACTCAGGGCGGCTTACAATGTGCTCAGCAATCTTTATCTTCCACAAGACCAAACTGGGGGTGGGGTGGGGGTGGGTGGGGAATCACATCTCTCAAATAGCCAATTTTTCAAAGTGGCAAAATTTTCCATTGCAATTGTGGAAAAAAGAAATCAGTATTAATAATGTGTACGCCTAACTTCCAATATGCTTAATGCACATATTTTGCTTAAAAGAAAACCCTAAAGAAGAAGAGATGCCACAATCTTAATGCCAAGCCCTGGGTATATAAGATTACACTCAAGGCAAGCGCTGTGCACCCTTTGCTATTCAATCCCAAAGACCTCAGATAATTGTCTTAATTTAAAGATATGGGAAATATCTCAGTCTTAAGGCCTGGAAACGTTTAGAATGGGTAAGACTGAGTATGAGGAACTCATGAGTTGATTCATAACAGAACAGCTTCCTATACATTCATGGTATAGGGATATTAGGGCCAATAGCATACAGGTAGTCCTTGATTTACAACCATTCATTTAGGGTCTAATCAAAGCAACAGCACAGAAAAAAGTGACGATCTGGGTCCTGGGGTTGCCATTTGAGACCTTCGCAGCCGGCTTCTGACAAGCAAAGTCAATGGGGGAATCCGGATTCGCTTAACAAAAGCATGATTCACTTAACAATTGCAGTGATTTTCTTAACAACAATAGGAAGATGGGGCACGACTCACTTAACAACCACCTTGCTTAGCAATGGAAATTCTGGTTCCACATTGTGGTTGTAAGTCGGGGACCACCTGTAAGTGAGGTTCTTTGGGTGGATGTATTTTTGCATTTTGATTGTTCAATTGCTTCTAATCCTTTGTGACCCCCAAAACATAGTTTTTCCAGGGATAACAGTAACTGCTTCTTTCAGTTCTTATAAGCTCATGTTCCTGGCATTAGGGCATTGGAAGCAGTGGTGGGTTC